CTCCCTCTATCCCCCCACCCTACCTCTCTTATCTCCCTCTACCCCCCCACCCCACCTCTTTATCTCCCTCTATCCCCCCACCCCCCTCCCTCTTATCTCCCTCTACCCCCCCCCCCTCCCTCTTTATCTCCCTCTACCCCCCACCCACCCCCTCCCTCTTATCTCCCTCTACCCCCCCACACCCCCACCCCACCCACACCCACACCCACGCCCACGAACCACAACAACAACTTCCCATTAAATTAACCCTCTCTCCCCCCTCCCCCCTTTTCACCCAGGTCGACTGCGTAATGGGCGAATGGGGGCCGTGGTCACCTTGCACCCATTCCTGCGGTTCCGAAGCGTTGCAACAGCGTTCCCGAACCGTCATCGCCGAACCAAGGAACGGAGGGAAGGCATGTGACGATCGCTTGCAACGTCGCTATTGCACGCTGCCCCCATGCCCTCATCCTAGGTATGTTGATTTCAGGTACGTGTCGCTTTTTTTTTTATTTCTCTATGTTTTGTTTTTCTATGGTGTTGCGTGTGTTTATGTTGGGGTGTGTATTGTGTATGTATGTTGGTGGGTATTGCACGCTGCCCCCCTTTTCTTTTTGCCCTCATCCTGGGTATGTAGATTTCAGGTCCCTATCGTTTTTTTTTCTATATTTTTTTATTGTTGTTTTGTATGTTGGGGTATGTTGGGTCATATTGGGTATGCTAGGTTATGTTGGTTCATGTTGGGTATGCTGGGTTATGTTGGCTTATGTTGAAGAATGATTAATATGGGTATGCTCGATATGTTGCTGTACTTTGGGTTATGTTGGTGCATAATGATATTGTATGTTGGGAATCTATTCGTATGTGTCCTTTTAACCTCAATTTCACCCTCATTTCGCATGGCGTCTGTTTTTGGGATTTTGTTGTTTATTTGTTTGCTTTACGTCGATTTACTAGTATACTTTTCTTCATCTATCTTTACCTTAATTCATTAGTGTAATAAAAGCAATAAAGGAATAGAATAAAAAGCGCTTACGGAGATTTGAATATTATTTTGCCTAATTTACATTTACATCAAAATTCTCATTTATCTTTTCCTTAATTCATTCAAGAAAAATTCAACAGAAAAATAAAACAAAAGTTAATTATTTCACATTTGTTTGTACGTTATCACTACTGCATAACATCTTTCGGTTATGGAGATTTGAATATTAACCGGATATAGTTCATATAGTCTTATTTTCCCTAAGTTTCATTTTAAATCCTTTTAAGTTTTTTCCATTTTTTTTAGGTACCATTAAGTCATGACGTCATTTTGATAGTGTAAGTCGAATCGTAAATAACACAGAATAGTCAGTGGATATTGACTATTGATAAGGATATTGATGATAGTTGTCATGATTACAATTATTTTGATTAGCAGGTATAATGATGATGATGATATAATGCTACAGATATAATGATAACAGAAGTGGTGATAATGATAGTGTTAGTAATGATAATAATGATAATTATCATTTTATAAACGGCAAAGTTTAACGTTTTCTTTTGTTTTGCTTTGCTTTTTTGTTATTTCTGTATCCCTATTTTATACGTTTTCATATTATATTCGGTCGTAATAATAGATTTTTGTATTTTAGTTGGATCTTTCATACTCCTGCCAAGTATTTTTTAAACTGTATATCTGCCTGTTGCTTGTGTATGTGTTTATTTATGTATGTGTGTATGCAGGGGTGTGGGATGAGGGGGGGAGGGGGTACCCTTCGTCCGTGTTCGTATACTGACGTATTTTTTTACTATATGTTCTCTTTTATCGTCGATTTTATATGCTTATATGTTTACCTGTATTTTGCTTTTTGTGTTCCATCCGCACCTTCCTTGACTTTCACCCGTAATGCCTCAGTCCATACAGCTTAAAATCCCTTAACCGCTTTGAATCATATCCTCCGTGCTGCATAAGTGCTCTGTTATTGAAACTTAATGAAATGTGTTTGCGTTTGTGTATAAATAACAAGAATTTTTTCTCTCTCCAAGATTTATTCAGTTTTAATTTTCTTTCAAAAAAAAAAAAAAAAAAAAGAAATCCTACATTTTCTTTTCCTGGTGCTATTTTACAGGTCCATACCATGGAGTATAAAATATTAAATAAAAGGAAAAATGTAAGGTGTCAAACAGGAGGAAACGGCAAAGTAAGTTCACCTTCTGACAGTTAAGACTTCTTAAAAACTACATTAAATCATAAACAAATTAAACATTTGGCTTAAACTCCGATGTAAATATACATACACAAATTAAAGAAACGATAAACTTTCCAGTGTAAATAAAACGGGACAGAAATAATTACATGTGTCCTTGCATTATGCAGATTGCACACACCCCAAAAATATGATTCTACATCCAATAATAACGATAATGATAATAATGATGATGATGATAACAATAGTAATACTAATATTGTTATTAATTTTATTTTTACTATTTCGATTATTTTCATCACACTTAATGATAACGATGATAATGA